ACAACAGCCCTACGTGGGCAGAATCTTCTTGATAACAGTAATTAAATTGCAACCTTCCACTAGTTCTTTGCTTGAAGTAAGATCAGTGGGGAGGAGAAACCAGTGACACAGCTTTTAGTTGGCAGTCTGACACAGTTGTGGAATGTTTTTTAAGACTCCCAACTGGCTATAAAATCAAAACTTTACATTTGCTTTTAACTACATATTCTCCTATTTGACTAAAGAATGGCATCAGGACTATAGGACTATTCAGAAAAATAAATCCACAGGAATACTTTTAAGATTTCAATTGTTAAAGGAAGCAATTTCTGAATTAGCATTGCAAGCACATCTTTAGCACCAGGTCTTCTATCCTTGTAGAATTTTTAACAGCCACTTCCATTGCCAATTGAAATATATATCTAAAGTAAAAAATACAATTTATGATTTATGTATAATAAATTATCTTTATAATTATCATCACAAAAATAGTATTATTTTTTAAAATTAAGACTATTTAGAAAATATTCTTTAGATGGTAGATTATCAGGATATGTTTTCACTTGTGGATGTGTGTGCAAAGTGGATTTTGATGGGTTTTTTTTGCAGTTTTTGTTAAGAAAATTGCTAAGAATTTGAAAGCAACCTAATACATTGGCTGTATATTAGGTTGCTTTCCTTCATGCACAATCAGTGTTGTTTTGGGTTTTAAAATGATTAAAAAACATATTTCTTATAGCTGAACTGTTTTCAGCCATGTAATTTAGTTGGCAAGAGTGCAGTAGTAATTGTGTATACTAATTTTAAGAGGCAATTATCAATTTGTTTAATAAGTGACTAACAATTACTGTTAGAGAAGAATTGATTTGCCATTGCCTTGGATATTAGATATTAGATATTTCCTAAATGAAAAGGACAGGAAAATATCAAGGATATATGTATACATATACATATGTATGTATATATGTATGTAAAAGTTCAAATAAAAATTGCATGTTTTCTGTTGGGATGGTTGTATGCAAGATAAACAGGTTATATTTTGCCCCAATCTGTTATGCAAGCTATAGAAGTTGACTAGAAATGTGACAGTGCTAAGATTTAATGCACTGAATTAAATATGGTAGAGAACATGAAAAAAATATGAAGTGTTCAGAGCTTTATTTGTTCTTTGCATATTTAATATGAAGACCTGAAGCAAGTTCCCCCAGGTTTGAGCCTTAAAGATTAGTTGAGAATACAACTATGCAACCACCCCCAGGTAGCAAAACTATTCTCTGTACTAGCTAAGTACTAACTTCAGAAGTGGATGAAGCCAGGATCTGTTTTGGAGTTTTAAAGAGTAAAATAAATGATTTAAATATCAGCAAAAGTTAAAGCTTGGAGGTTAAAGCAAAGGTTTCTATTTAAACCTCCAAACACTAAAATGAAAGTCCTCATTTTTTAGAATCCATCCATTCTGGGTGAACTCCAGGGCTGCAAAAAAAAAAAAAAAGATTTCGTTTGTTCGTTCGTTCGTTCATTCATTCATTCATTCATTCATTCATTCATTCATTCATTCATTCATTCATTCATTCATTCATATAAAAATGATATCACAATATTAAAACCATAAATGAGAACAAAGTTAAGAACAGAATTCAAAAGGTTGGTGTTAAAATATTAAAAGTTAAAGAGTTAACAAGGTAGAGAAAACATTGTCTCAATACATCCCCAAGGTTGCATATAACTTTTCAACCCACATGCCAATTTTAACATATTTTCTGAAGGCCAGAAGAATAGGAGCCTGCTTCAGCAGAGAAGACTATCTTCCTGGATCTTGCAATTGGAATTATTTAATCAATAGGATCCCTAAAATACCCCCACCCCCACCTGACCAGTTGGGATGGGACAGTTCCTCAGATAACCTAGGCCCATGGCATGAAGGGTTTTAAAGGTCTTAAAAGTCCACCACTTTGAACTGGATACAAATTGGCACCGAATACAGCTCACATAGCAGAGGTGTTACATGTGCAACCCAAGGCTACTCATGCCACCACATTCTGAATCAGTTGCAATATCTGGATAGTCTTCAAAGGTAGAACACATTGTAGTATTTGTACAAGAAATGACCAGTGTATGAGTGGCTGAAAGAAGGGTTTCTTCATCCAGGAAAGGGTGTAATGAAGTTAAACAAAGGGTCTCCAATTACAAGTGACTTTTGATCCTTGAGCAGGTGACATGAGTTCAGAATGCTCCCAGATTATTGGGTATTATCTGGGGCAATGCATACTCGCCCAGGACTAAAGATGATAAACCCATGGATATAGAGGTGCCTTCAATCCATAGCCACTCCATCTTACCAAGATTCAATTGAAGCCTGTTGTTCCTCATAAAGAGATCCAGACAGCCACTAAGCACTATGAAAGGGCACCCATTGGGTCACTTAACTTGCCCAAGGTGAAATGTATCTGTGTGTCTTTCTTGCACTAGTGTGTGTGTGTGTGTGTATTTTAACTTTATGAATGTTGCTCACAGTTAGTGTTGTGAGATGGGCAGCTATATAAATCTATGTAAAGCAAGCAAGCTACCTACCTAGTAATGTAGTTTAAAACATTGTCTTGATCTGTTGTACTGTACACATTCAAGAACCGCTTTGATTTTTTTAATCTGATACCTTGGTTATGTGCATTTTCAATAATATAGATATGGCTATTAAAATGAAAAGAAATCAGGAATGCTTGGAATATACCTTGGATTGTTTTGTTTCTGGACGTGCGCTGAATTTTTCCAAAATATTTCCCCTATAGTGTGCTTATTTTTTCTGAAATAATAATGTTGAAATGTGTCTAATTCAATTATTCCCATCCCATTTGAACAAGTTTCCCAAGCTATGATATTTGAACAGGTTCTTTTAATTGCTGATACAAATGTCAATCATTCGGCTGCAAAATGAGAATGTGTCTTGAAATAGATGTTTCCTGTGCATGTCATTTAATCAACAATGAAAATGTTACTGGTACATCAATAGCCCTTCTTGATACGAAATATTGAAACAAGAAAGATAACCCTTGAAAGTCTGTTAAAAAGCAGAACATACATTCTGTCTATTCACAATTATGAAAATGATCATTCCATTGTATACATAATACTGTTATTTCTAAAGCATATTAAAAGGAATTCATCTAAAGTACAATTTTATTTATTATTATTGTATGGAATGTTTTGGAATTTTTAAGGTACAGTTTTAAGTACAGTGCATAAAGAATTTCTAAGCCTGACTGCACTCAAAGAAAGCTCTTCCTCAAGGGTTTAAATAGTAATTCATAAAATGGAAAGAATAATAAATATTGTGCCTTAACTCATGCATGAGCATAGACAGACAGTTTTTGTGCACCTGGGTATAATTTTAGTTAATTCACACAAGAGACAGGTTGAAAGTTTATTGTTTAGATAGGAGAAAATGGCTTAAATCTCATATTTGCAAAAATGATTGCATTACCTTAAATGAAAATGGTATTCTATTAGTTACTTCAATAAGCATTTCGTTTAGAAAAATATTTTAATAAAAAAAACTTATCTGAACTTCCATACAACTTAAAATACGTAAGTGAGGGAAAGTACTTTCTTTGATTTAGATGTCTTTGGGAAGTATAATTACTGGCTTTTTACTCACCTATGTAAAATAATGTATTTTTATAAATGGATTTCTGGCCACTTTAATCCATTTTTTCCATTTCTTTAAAAAAACATAAAAAGTAAGCACAGTCAATCAAAGAATTTTAAGGTTTATTTCCTCTTTAGAAATGATTGATAGCCATTTAGATTTACAAGCTGACAAGTTAAAGGGTGCTATTGGTATAATTATATACTATATTCACAGTCTTTCAATTTAAATGTCCTTTTAAAATCATGAGATTATCATATCTGTATTTTGAAAAGTAGACCAGTCAGTTTGGGTTGGTACACAAATTGCTTCCATTAGCCTTGGGACCTATTTGAATTTAATACCTTCTTTAAAATCAGCACTACTTTCAATGTACTTTTGAAACTTAGGGTAATGGGAAAGCATTTTTATAGTATGTGTTAACTTTATTTTTAATGTATGGATGAATGTTACAAACACAAATAAAAGTGTTACTCAGTCTAAAAGATTTTTTTTAAATCATTATTTTTTTATCTATGGAAAAACATTTATAGTAGGACCTGGGGGAAATGAAGGAACACTTTTAAGAATGGTGGAGTAGGTTGCCTGTCTCATTAAAAACAAGGAAAAACTTTCAAGAATCTATAAATGGATCCATTTATTCAACTGTATAAAGTAACAAGTTAATCCAGAATTTTACTAGAGTAATTGCAATGAGGATTTTGTTTTATTTATTTCTTTGAAAGATAGCAAGATGTTGTTTTTTTGGATCTGGTTATTTACTTGTTTCCCGAGCAAGACACTTGCTTAATTGCAAATATTTCATTGAAATGTAAAACATTGTGGCACCTGATATTAAAACATCAAAAAATAAACTCTGACTCAGAGTGGAGTTTATTGGATATTTCAATAATAGAGGTTACTGACTGAATAGCAATAGCACTTAGATTTATATACAACTCCATGGTGCTTTATAGCACTCTCTGAACAGTTTGCAGAATCAACATATTGCCCCCAACAATTTCAGTCCTCAGTTTTACAGACCTCTAAAGGATGGAAGGCTGAGTCAACCTTGACCGTTGATCAGGATTGAACTCCAAGCTGTGGGCATTCTAACCACTGCACCAGAAGGGCTCCTGAAACAGTCTGTGGATTCTGCTGTTGGAAACTGTCTGTTCTCCCTGCTTATCACAATACTAACCCTTTAGAACCATTTAGAATTCTTATCTAGAAATACACATAAGCAACCATAGAAATAGATAAAAGTTCATGAAATGAAATATGTTATAATATAAAATGTCTAGTTAATTTTGTCCTCCAGAATTGTGATAGTTTCTAGAACTCAAGAATTTTTAGTGAACAATTCAGTTTTGCATAATTACTATTTTTCTTGTTCCAGCTTTGAATGAACCAACCATTGACTATGGCTTCCAAAGGTTACAGAAAGTCATCCCGAGGCATCCTGGTGACCCTGAGCGTTTACCAAAGGTCAGCAAAATGTAATGTATGTGTGAACATACATATGTATCTTTGTTTATGATTAAATCTATGATGCATCAGGTTTTTTTCAAATAACACTTCAGCACAATATATGTATAGTCAACATCTACATTCGGAATACTACAGCCACATGCTCTGTATGAAGCTTGTTTATATTTGGTTCAGCTTTGTTGCATCCAGCTGTATTCTCGTTAAACACATCTGTGTTTAAAGAGATGCAACAGCTACCTTTACTTACTGAGCCACATTCAAGAAAATATTGTTACATGTAAATCACAAAATCATGTACACATGAAGGTAAGACTCAGCTCTTTTAGCAATTAAACCATCAATACTGATAAGTAAAGGTAAATGTTTGCCTCACACATATGTGCTAGTTGTTCCTGACTCTTAAGGGGTAGTGTTCATCTCTGTTTCAAAGCTGAAGAGCCAGTGCTGTCTGAAGACATCCCTGTGGTCATGTGGCCAGCATGACTAAACACCAAAGGCACACAGAATGCTGTTACCTTCCCACCAAAAGTGGTCCCTATTTTTCTACTTGCATTTTTACATGCTTTCAAACTGCTAGGTTAGCAGGAGTTGGGACAAGTAACAGGAACTCACTCTGTTATGCGGCACTAGGGATTCGAACTGATGAACTGTCGACCTTTCTGATCGACAAGCTCAGCATCTTAACCACTGAGATTGCAGGAAGATACAGAGTTACTTCTAACTGGTGTGGATGGTCAAGAGATTCTAGGTTTTCTATCGAGTGATTCCATTATCAAAAGCTCAAGCAAGCAAATAAACAAACTTAGTTTGTCATTTTACCAAATCAATCTTTAGTGATTCTTCTTACATTACATAAACATTTGGAATACTACAGCCCAGGTGCTGTATTTATGCCCATGCTCCTATTTATAACCTCGTTATCTAACATAAATGTTAATGGTAAATTAACTACAGTGATTCAATATCAATAATAAGTTTAATAAATACTAATTAATATTAAAATTAGCATTAAATGTTTTAGCATTAATGCTAAAAATAGCATCCATAAGGAATGTTGTTGACCAAGTCCCCAATTCTTGGTGTAGACTTCCTATATAGAGGGAAATATGAAGGAAACACAATGGCATTTGATGAAACAAAGAAGATGGATATTTATGAATTGGATTGTACCATGATTGTAGAAATGGTTTGATAAAGGATGCTAGGAAATATTTTTTTTAAAAAATGAAATTGGTAAACATCAAAGCCAGAAAGATATGTCACTATACTCAGGCACTGAGGGTTTAAAAATATTTCACTGAATGTATTAGGTCTCAGTGTAATATTTTTATATACACACAAAGTAAAACAATCATTTAGACAAGATTTTGCCAATAGGCAATTTTCAGGTAAACTGAATCTACAGTCTTTTTCGTAGAAATCTGGGAGTAACAGTGGAAATATTTTTGGAATGTTAAAGAGGGACTCATAGGTATCATGTAGCCAGTGGGCTAAAATTGATAATAAAAGCATGTTCATGGTTGTTCCATTATCATGAATACCTAAGCAAATAAAGAAAGCACATCTATTGCATTCCCATGCTGAACATACATTGAGAATTGGGAATTGCACCTGAAATTCCAAACTCGTTTTAGAAAACAGAACACATTTTCAGTTTCTTCTCGTTTGAAATGACGGTCTATTTCAGTTTTAAAATAATAACAGATGCTACTCAGCTAGCTTGTTAAATTGAATAATACTTTGATAGGATGTTTGAGTGCTTCATTTGAGAGTATGGGTTCAGAGAATGGTTAATTCTGCAAAAACTGAAGGTTGAATTTGTGCTCATGTTTTATATGGGGTCAGTTCAAAACTTGACTGTCATTAGAAGTCTGTTGTACTCTTTCTGGAAACTGGAACTTATGTTGCCATATTCTTATCATTTGGTAGTCTGAGAGAGATCAATAATTATCAGAGAGATTCTACTCCAAAATGAACTAATATGGCACTTTCATTTGCTATTTGCTTGATTCATCTTGTATAGTTGGGCACTTACAGTATATATTGCTTTTTTCCCCTCTATGATGTTGGAAATAGCTTCCTTTGTAAAATGGGTCGTCAGTACTTCTTTCATAGTGATATGACAAAAATTAAAATGCTATCAATTGTCCACATGAGACATTAAACTAAAACCATGTGGGAGGAAATTATGTTGGTATTATGAAAAATCCAAATTCAGGGATAACTCTAAAATGGGATATCAAACTGGTGGCCCATAGGCTGGATACATAATGCACAGGCCACACTTACCCCAGCTGCTCAAATGGGGAAAAGGTCCAAAACTTCACGTGATGGCAACGTGACACCGCGGGTTTGACACCTGTGCTCTAAAAGGAGGATGTTTTGACAGCTGAAAGACACAGTCATATTGAAATTGGGCAGGAGGACTTCTTGAAGGTCAGCAGAAAAGGCTTTTTCTTAGTGCGTTAGAGTTTACTCAACAATTGATCACAGCAGATTGTGCAATTTAGAATCTATGGTTTAAAACCTTAGCATACAAAGGATAGAAAAAGCCATAAAGATCATTTTGCTCTTGGACCATGTTCCCTTAAAGCAAAAGAGCAAGGATGCTGAGCATTGGTGCAATATGTAGTTGGTTGGTTAATGCTTAATACAAACAGCTTGACTTAGCTTGTAGCACAATTTCTATCTGCAAGAAATTAATATTGCCCAGCTGATAAAGTAGTCTTGTCATAAACAGCATATTAGAACAGTGATTTACAGGAGAGATAACACAGTGTTTGAAATTGGGTGATGAGGCATCTGGAGAACATAAAATTAATAAGTCAAAAATAGGAAGGTGATATATATTCAATGGACCCTTAACTAGAGTCTAGAAATCTGGAGAAGCTAAACATCTTCAAAGAAAAACCAGAAAGTCCAGTTGCTTCTTGAAAAAGCACCTTTGGGATAGAGTCCAGATTATTATTGCCTAGACTGTCTCAATATGGTTTTCCAAATTTCTAACCAGGGTCTTTTCAGTAGTTTGGTCACAGGCATTGAAACATAGGATAAAAGGTCTTTGTCACAGAGAAATAGCTTTGATTGAATAATTTTGATTGAACTGACTAATTTAAAAAATATATGTCATATATTAGATATGCACATACATACAACAAAATGATAAAATGCATGAAAAGATGCTAATCTCATACAGACATTTTCTTCTTAACACAGTAGTTCCTTTGGAAATGTATATGCCAGAATTTTGAGGAAAGCAACAAAGACTGCATTTGTGTATTTTGTTCTGTGGAGCTGAAAATATCTAGTAAATTGATCCTGTGGGAGTAATAAATACACATTACTTTATCTTGTACTTCATGTCTTATACCCCTGAGCCTTGATAGAACAACACCACTTAATAGACTTTAAAAAAGAGTAATTACAGTCATTGGTTGTGTGATTTTTCAGCCCTTCCAGCCCTGCCTGACCTTCTAATTTAGCTTACCGTGTCTAACTAATGCATTTATATTCATCTTTTATGAAGCATGTGTAGTACAAAATTGACTTTGCAGCCTTTAGCAAGCTGTCTTACTAGTTGAATATCTGGTTAGTCCCATATTCTGAACTGGGCATTTGTACAGAGGAGTGAGCTGTAGGCTTTTTTTTAGGTTTTGGGGAGTGCTAATCAATTATTTCTTTTTATTTTTTTGGAAATTCTTAAAGAATAGAATAGAATAGAATAGGATTTGTTTATTGGCCAAGTGTGATTGGACACACAAGGAATTTGTCTTCAGTGCATATGCTCTCAGTGTACATAAAGAAAAAATAAAATATATTCATCAAGAATCATAAGATACAACATTTAGTGATAGTCATAGGATACTAAGAAACAATCAAATCATACCAGGAAACAATAAAACAATATAAATTGTAAGGATACAAGCAACATGGTTATAGCAATAAGTGGGAAGAGATAAGTACTATAGTAAGGATGAGAAGAATAATAGTAATACAGTCTTAGTAGATAATTTGACAGTGCTGTGGGAATTAGTTGTTTAGCAGAGTGATGGCATTCAGGAAAAAAAACACCTGTCCTTGTGTCTTGTTGTTCTGGTGTGCAGAACTCTGTAGCATTGCTTTGAGGGTAGAAGTTGAAACAATTTATGTCTAGGATGTGAGGGGTCTGCAGTTATTTTCACAGCCCTCTTTTTGACTCATGCAGTGTACAGATCCTTAACGGAAGGCAGGTTGGTAGCAATTGTTTTTTTTTCTGCAGTTCTAATTATCCGTTGAAATCTGTGTCTGTCTTGTTTGGATACAGAGCCAAACCAGACAGTTATAGAGGTGCAGGTGACAGACTCAATAATTCCTCTGCAGAACTGAATCAGCAGCTCTTTCGGGAGTTTGAGCTTTCTGGGTTGGTACAGGAAGAACATTCTTTGTTGTGCTTTTTTGATGATGTTTTTTATGTTAGGTTTCCATTTTAAGTCTTGAGATATGATAGAACCTAGAAACTTGAAGGACTCTACTGTTGATACTGTGTTGTCTAGTATGTGTAAGATATAATGTAAATTCTACTTTTCCATTTACCTTCTGAAAAGTGTTGTATATACCAAGATTATTTATAGCCAAGTGTAAATGCCAAAAGATGCAAGTATTTCTAAAAGGGTTATCTCAAACATTTTTTTCTAGTCAGAAATAGCTCAATGCCCAGACATTTCTTGTTCTCTTTTGAGAATGACAGTTGGATAAGGCCATCCCATGCTGATTTGCATGCAAGACTGACAGCTTAGGAGATGAATGATGCTGCAAAATGTTCAATATCATGCAATTTGTACATGCACATTTAAAAAAAATAGCTTAAGAGAAGGCTGGAGGAATTCCCTTCGGGAAGAACAACCCCGAGCTAGCCAACACACAGACCATGCTCTCTGCTGCGGACTTCCATAACTTTCTGTCCGGTTTACTTATCCACTGGAGCACAATTGTTTCTGTGCATTTCTTTTCCCACCATA